CCCAAGGAGAGTGTGGGACATGTGTGGTTTATCAGGGGGTGATGTCCAATGGGAAGTGGTCACACAGGCCATGCAGTCAGGGAGTTGGCGTCATGGAGGTGAGAACAGAAACCACCAGATGGAAGTGAAGACAGAGGAAGTGGACAGGAGGTAAAAGAGAAGTGTGGGGAGGACAGAGCCTTGGGGACTCCACGAGTTGGGGGAGGAAGGAGGAAGCGAGCTAGAGGGGGCCAGGGAGTGACCCGGGGATGGTAATCGGGTAAAGCCAGGCTCTGGGGCCAGTTCTCCTGGGCTTGAGTTCCAGCTCTGTCACTTACTCACTGCAGAACCTTGAGATGGTTATTAACCCCACTCAGCCTCAATTTCCTCATCTGTAAAGTGGGGATTATAATCCGCAAGTTTGTGGTAAGAACTGAAAGGGGGAGTTTGTGCAAAGTCTTTACACTTGCACATACTAAATGCAGTAAATGTTGGCTTTTATCACTAGTATCAGTGGGAGGGAATCAGAAGAGGACAAAACCATGGACCCAAAGAAAGCTCAGCATCCTTTCTAGTTTTCAGTGCCAACTAAGGCAGCAAGCCCGGGATAGGAGAGGCACAGCAACTTTTATGTTGGTAGCCAGCCCTGTGCCACCAAGGCTGAGAACTACTGATCCCTCTAGTCCAACCCTAAAATTATTCTGCTGGTGAATTGAAGGCTGCACATCTGCTGAAGATCATGAGCAAGGTGGTAGAAACACTTACCCCGCCGACTTAAACATGGAGAAGAGGACTTGGTCATCTGACTTTGAAGTCTGGCTTCTCTGTTTACTTGCTGTGTGACCTTGGAAAAGTCACTTGGCCTCTCTGAGCCTGAGTTATTAAATAGGATAATAGCTACAAATCACCTATCATGTTCCCAGGACCCAGCAGGCCCTCCATAAATATTTGTTTCTGTCTCTTTCTCTCTAGAACCCAGGTCTTCCAGCTCTTCCCAGCATATGATTTGTTAGGATCCTTTACTTTGTCGTGGGCTCCATCCAAGAGACTATGACTAAGGGTTTGTTCCTTCTTCTGTGTTTTCAGAGCCCCATCCTCTCCTCTGACCCCAGCATTCACCTGCCACAGAGCAGAGCCAGAGTGTGCACAGGACTACCTGGTGCTCCAAGTGAAGTTCTGATTCTGATTCAGTGGGTCCTGCATTACTTATGGCCCCAGGGATGCTGGCACTGTGGGTCCTCTATCCTCCTTGTAGAGGAGGCCTGCGGTGGCCGGTCCACCTCCCTGCTGACTCATGAGCTCCTCTGGGGCCAGTCTCTTTATCTTACTCATCTGTGTCCCCTCTACGGTATGTACTCACTAAATGGATGTTGAAAAAATAAGCAAACCATAGAGAAAACTATTTTCCAGCTAAGTAAATACAGACAGGGTGTTTTGTGTGAGCAGCAACCCTCCTGATTCACTCCAGCATCACCCTCTTGGCTGACGTAAGGGCCGTGAGGAGGGAGGGGCCTGAGATCCAGAACCTGGAGTCCTGGGTTTGAATCCTGACCCTCTCACTCACTAACTGGCAGCCCTGGGCAAATTACGAAGCTCTCTTCCATAAAGTGAGGGTGATCACACCCAACCACAGTGCAGCCCCAGAGATGGCTAAAACATGCTTTATAAACTGTAAAGTGCTCCAGATAAAGTATCATTAAGACAGCAGCTTTTTTAAGGGCCAGAACTACTTTTTATCTCCCTAGAGCCTGAAGATTGCTTGTGATGGGCGGGGTGGGGGACACACCAGGGGTCTGGTTGGAGATGGGGGCTGAGGCAGACAGGTCACGTGTCCCCACTCTGGCAGGGACAGTGGCCACAGGAAGTGTGAGGATGAGGCCAGGAAAGTTGAGGAGGGAAGGCTTCCTGGAAGAGGCTGGCAGCAGTTGAGAAAGCAAGGCTGGTCTGAAGGCACCAGCCTGGCCGGAAGGCAGGCAGAGAAACCAGAGTCCTCCGACAGGCCTGGGGCAGGGCTCCCGGCTGAGAGTGTAGGAGACCAGGCTGGACCAGGGGGAACTCGGGGCCATTAGGAAAGAACGTCAAGTAACTACAGATGTTCCCTGTCGCCCAGAGCTGAGTCACTCGTTTCTCTGCTGGAGCCACCCTGTCACTGTCCACCTCCAAGTACAGCCACTGCACCACTAACTGGAGCCTCAAGCATCTGAGGACAGAGGCAGGAGCCAGACACGTTCCTGCCCTCAGGAAGCTCATCAGTTTCTGACGGCCACAGAGAAATGGTGACCGGACAGGTAGCAGGTGCTAGGAGGTCACTGTTCCTGTCTCCACCTCAGCCAGTGAGTCTCTTCTGCACACTCACCTCCAGATGGTTCCTCATGCCATTCCCTGCTCTCGACCCAGCAGGTCGTGCTTCCCATCCCCACAACATGTACCTTACAGTCACCGTGTTAACTAGGAACACTGCTGTCCTTCCTTCTGCTAAAGACTCATCACAGCCCCGTCGCTTACACTTGTGCTTTCTCACGTCCCCTCTCCCCACTCAGATTACAGCAAGAGTCATTGCAACAGTGCTCCCCAGTTTACAAACTGCGTTCCTGCATATTATTTAATTTAATCCCCACAGTCAACCTGTGAGTTAAGTGGTATCCTTATTTACAATAAGGAAACTGAGGATTAGAAAGCTCAGACAATTTGCCTGAGGCCACATAGCTCATCCGTGTGCCCAGCCACAAAACTTCAACCTCTTCTAGCTCCGGTGCCAGGGCTCTGCCCAGTACTTGGAGGCCACACAAGGCAGGTGTTAAAGGTTGAGACTTCCAGCTGTGTGACTTGGGCAAGTTACTTAACCTCTCTGTGCCCTGATTTTCTCCAGGTAAAATGTGGCTGATCCCATAAGGATCTCATAGGTCCTTATCGATACCACCTCATAGGTCCTTATCGAGATTAAATAAGGTAACACAAAAAAGCAGTTAGAACAGTGCCAAACACAATAATGAATTATAATTATCATTCTCCCTTCACTAATTCTCATGGTCTCTTAACTCATTAAACTTTTTTTTTTCTAACTCATGTTTACTGTCATATTTGGTAGGTAGTTATTAAACAAAATACTTTTTTGCAGATTGACTAAGGTTAAGTTTTAGGATTGTCCTCTTCTTTTCTTCACCCTCCTCCTCCCCTAATTGTCCCCTAACTCTCTTTTCCTGATCCATTCTACCTCCCTTCTTAACACACACACACCCACACACCCCCACACACACACACGCCACTAGGTCAAATTTGGCCAATTATAGGTGTTCCACAGAATGTAAAATACTGGAAGACACTGACCTAGACTCTCCTTGTTGGGTTGTCCCTGGATAGCTAGAGAAACTTTCACAAACCTAATTTCCACCACTAATGGGTCAAAGTCTTACATGTATTTCTCTGTTGCTCCAGTTTTTACACAGTTGAGACTCTAGAAGGAATGAATTACCATTTCTTTTCCTTTTCCATTAAAAAAAAAAAAAAGAAAAGATTCACACTGTTTCCTGGAGCAAGAAGCCTCAGGTGGTCAGGCAGCTAGTCAAGGCAGTAACACCCACAGTAGACAGGTAGCTCCCCTCTTTTTGGTGGTTCTGTCCATAAAATCAGAGAACTAAACTTCAAACCCAGCGGGACCCTGGGAGGCAGAAGTGAAGAGCCATCTCCCCTATCCCACCTGGGGTAGGATGATGATCTAGACAGGGGACACTCACTACTTTAAATCACCCAGACATACCTACCAAGGGCCAGAGGCTCCTGGGAAAAAAGAAGAGGATAAAGTCCCCTGGGATGAAAAGCTTTCTTCTTTGCAAGATTCCATATATAGAACACTCACTCAGGACCTCATCAATCTTCCCTATCTAAAATCCCAAAGCCCTCCCCTCACACAGTACTGTGCTGTGGTTGGTGTGGGGGGTAGGCAGAACACAGCAGGAGAACCAGCCTCTGGCAGCGCAGGCCCAGGTGGATATTCAAAGGTTTCACACTGCAAGAAAGACTGAAGAACAAATGTGCCCATAGAACTTTGGCACTGGGATGAAAAGAAGTGCAGTGCCCTTTGAAATGGATTTTGCATACAAACAAGCGGATGAACACCATCAACATGTCAGCTTTATGCACTCAAATCAATACACCAGGCATTAAAACTCTGAGGTAAAAATGGATTGTGGCTTTTTGTTGATGACAGGGAGGAATTTTGGCCCCCAGCCCTGGTCAGGCTGGACAAATAGGGCAGTCTGCCTATTAGCTGTCAGGCACATCTTGAGGGGTGAAACCAAAATTCCAATTCAGGGTTCTGGGCAACCTAGGACAGCACATCTTGACCAGTACCGGGACGTCGGTCCAAGACCCTCAGATCCTGCTCCCTGGCCGGCCCCCTCCTCCAGCCCCTAGTCATCTTCCAAACTCGGCCACACATTGCATTTCCTACATTCCTTCTCACCGCTCAGACCCCTTCAGCCCGGCCCTCGGAGGCCGACAGCTGGGGGTGGCGTGAGCCAAGCAAGAGGCTCGAGGAAGGGGGTGCTAGGGGTGGGGGGAATGTCAGTGCAACCCTGAAGCGATCGAGAGGGGCGGAAAGGGCTCCGCACCCTTCACATCCCCGACCCAGAGCCCCACTCTCCGCCGCCACACTTATGTCCCCACAACGCGCTTCCACAGCCTAGGGGTACCCCTTCCATTTGGCCCGGTTCCTTTCCCACTCACCGCCCCTGTGACCCCTGCCCTGCCCCGCCAGGTCCGGCTCCCCTCGGCCGCACCGCACGAATCATGCCAGCTCCTCGAAGCTGCCCTGCTCTCTTCCCCAGGCCAGCCAGGATGCCCCCGGGGTCCCCGACCTTCCCGGATAGCCTCAACCTGCGCACCAGATGCCCTCTCTCGCGGCCCCCTTGCCCAGTACCTCCCTGGGCCTGCAAGACCCCTACTCCCTTCAAGTCCCCTCCTGGACACTGCGTCTCTCGGGATGCCACAGCCATGCATGCCCCGGGGTCCCCGATCCTCACCTGAGTCCGCTCGAAGCTTTCCCGCTCTGCCGCCTCCATCCCCCCGCCGACCCCACGCCGGCTCAGCACCTTTGGCAAGGGGTTGGGCACCTGCTTCATGGAGCTGGCCATTCGGTCCATGTTGCCGCGCCGAGCCGACTCAGGGGCCCTCAGCCGCCCCGGGATCCCCACGGCGCCGCCCGCCCCGCCCTACCCGCTGGGATCCGGCGCTAACGGGACGGCTCTCCGCTCCCATTGGCTGAAAGCACTGCTACTCTCCCGAGGCCCCGCCCCTACTCAGAGGCTTCCCCGCCCGCCCCCGCCCCCGCCGGAGCCCCTCGGAGCGCCCTGCCTGGCCGGGCCGCAGGGACCGCGAGGCGCGTCCTAACCGGCCCGGAGGCCTGTCCGTCACCTGGGGGGCGGGCAGGAGGCGGGGCCTGGGGCGGCCCTGACTTGCCCTCTCCAGCCCCTCCCCCGTTGCCCGGCGCTCAGCTCTCCCGGCCCTGCCAGCACCCACCCCTACCCCGCGAGCCGCGCTCTCCCTCTGCTGGGGGCTCTGCGAGGTCCCGGAGTGGTGGGCGGGGGTCAGGCTGGAGGGGAATCGGGCCTCCCGCAGGGAATCCGGGCCCGCCTGGGAATAGCCTGTTTACTCCTTTCGGGCCGGGGACGACAGAGTGCGGGATGGACCGGCTCGGCTGCTGGAGTCCCGGGAAGCGCGGTCCTGGAGGCCCGGCTCCCGCAGGATGGGTCAGCGTCTGGTAGACGTGGTCGCCGTGGGTGGCGGCCCCCAGCAAGTTCCCTCTGCTTCTTCCCTCATCCTGCCCCTACCCTGAATTCCTGCCCATCCCTTTTCTAATGATCGCAGACCCGGGAGCGCTGGGCTGGGTCAGTGGAAACCTCTCGACACCTTCTTTCCAAGCTTATCATCTGAATCTACCCGGAACGTATTCGTTGGTAGAAACCCCTGTGGACGCTTGATGTTTATCTCCGGCTCTGCGCCACCCCTCCTGTCCTGCTCAGACGTCAGCCAAGGTACCGACAGGCGGAGGGAAGTATGATCCTTAGCGGAGATGAAGAAACTTAAAAGTTTTCCGTTAAATGCCAATTTTGGTGTTTTAAAAATAAATGCTTTGAAACTCAAAGGAAAGCATTACATTTTTTTAAAGTAAGAGCTTTTGATTAAAAAAAAATTCACACATTCAATAGAGAAGTGGAAGAGGGGGTGAGCCTTTGGAGGCACTAGGGAGCCACTGAAGGCATTTGCTCAGACCTGCGCTTTGCCGAGCTGGCACTGTGTGGACGGGATTATGGGGGCGAGAGGGAAGGGAGGGAACAAATGGAGAGACTCCAGTAGCAGGTGAGAGACAATGAGGGCCTACACTAGCAAGGAGAGGAGAAAGTTCGGTCCTGTGGGAGGTTCTGTGAATAGATTTGGACAAAGGGAATGCCGGGGGTTGGGGGGGACAGTGATGAGGCCTGAATTTCTGTGGAAGAAGGATTGAAGGATGGCCTTGTGGTGGAGGGGGAATTGCCTTGAGGCTATATTTGCATAGCAAGCACACAGGTTTCACCTTCCCTTAGGCTGTGTTTGTATGGAGGCCTGGGGACTGGCTCCCCTTGTGTTTCTCTGGAACGAGGTTAGCTGTCACCTAGTTTTGGAGGCTTTGTTCTAGTCATGGGAGAGGGAGCAGGCACCTGCCAAGCACTGTGGCCTTAAGTAGAAAACCAGTCAACAGGAGACCCCAATCTCTATCTCTCTCATCCTCTGATTTCCTACTAGTGCCTCCCACTGCCAAACTCAGCTGGAAGCTGGAGGTCTAGGATGATGCATCAGCACTGCCCTGCCCCTCCTTCCAGGCACAGAGCAGAGTGGAGAAGAGTGGAGGCTGGATCTGGAGGTGTCCAGCACAGCAGGCTCAGAGGAGTCTACCTGCGAGGAAAACAGACCAGCTTCATAATAATATTACCTCTGCGTGCCCATTCTTAGTCCTGCACCCGCCTCGCTCTGGACCCAGCCAAAGAGTGATTTATGATCCTTTGCCCAGAGTTTATGGCTTCAATAAACATGGGCCCTTTAAACAGGGATTAAAGGATCAGCCTACTTCTTATTAGAATAAACCAGAGTAGGAATCAGGAATTTGTGGTTTGGAGGCACCCTGTGGAGAAAGACTCAAGCGAGTTACCTTCCTCTGTGAAACTCAGAGTGAGTTAAAAATAAGATTTCTCACTTGCCGCAGCAGCAAAACCCTTTGCCAAGAATTGAGGGAAACCCTCCCCCCGGGATATAAACTACAGGACTCCGCTAGCTTCCTTCAGCTCTTACTGTCTCTCCCAGCAATGTTGGAACCACTTGTTTCTTTACCTTCTGGAGATGCCAGGTTTCTAGACATGGAATCCCATCTCTGGGAAACCTATAGGAAGATCAAAACTGTGTGTTACCTGCCTCTCCATGTCTGCTGAAATCTGTCCCACCCCACACCTAGTCTGCATCTGATTTAATATCTGGTGTAAGGATAGGTAAACTGACCACACTTTTCCTATAAGCTCTCGGTCCGCATGTTTTAGTAGTTTAATGAGATATAATTAATTTACATTAAATTGTACATATTTAAAGTATACAATTTGATGAGTTTTGACATACATGTATATACACTCATGAAAATATCACCACAATCAAGATAATGAACATATTCCTCACCTCCAAAGTTTTCTTCGTGCCCCTTCCTAATTCATTCTTACTTCCTCCCAAACCCCTGTGCTCAATTACTAATCTGCTTTCTGCCACTATAGATTAATTGCATTTTCTAGAATTTTATATAAACGGAACCATACAGGATGTATTCTTTTTGGTCTGGCTTTTTTTCACTAAGAATAGTTATTTTTGAAATTTATATATATTGTTACATGTATCAATAGTTTGCTCTTCTTAATTGCTGAGTACTATTCCAGTATATGAATAGTCCACAACCTGCTTACCCTTTAACCTGCTGATGGACATTTGCATTCTTTCCAGTTTTTGACTATTACCAAAAAAAAAATGCTATGAACAGTTGTATCCAAGTCTTTGTATGAATAGCAGTCAAAACGATGTGATTTTATCCATCTGGTAGATATATTAGTCAACAGAACAGATTAGAGTCCAGAAATAGGTCCACACATACATGGTCAATCAATTTTCCAAAAAGGTACAAGGCAATTCAATGGAAGAAAGACAATCTTTTCAACAAATGTTGCTAGAACAATTAGATAATCATATGGAAAAAACCCCCAAATACCTTAATCCTTTCCTCACACCATATACAAAAATTAACTCAAGATGGATCATAGACCTAAGTGTAAAAAGAAAATAGGAGAAAATCTTAGTGACCTTAGGTTTGGCAAATGTTTCTTAACTACAACACGAAAAGCATGAAGAATAAAAGGGAAAAAAATCAATAAAAAGGACTTCATCAATATTAAAACCATTTGCTCTTTGATAGACTGCTATGAAAATGAAAAGGAAGGCACATACTGGGTAAAGATATTTGTAAAACATCCATCCAACAAGGAATTTGAATCTAGAATATGCCACGTATACATTTTCAAAGTTTACCTGGCTTGGATTTTAAATTGTTCACACAGATCAGGATGACTCAGGCACAAGAGGACAGTGTAGGGGCCCACATACAGAATTTACAAAGACAGGGATCTGAGTCTGAGCTGATGCTCCACGGCATTTTAGACAAGTTACTTAATGCTCTGTATTTTTTAACCAGCTGTAAACCAGGAGGTGTAATAATATGGCTTTCGTTCATTCAGTGGACATTGGTTGAGTTTCTAGTCTAGGTGAGGCACAGGACTAATAAGTTTATAAATTTACTCTTTGGTCATGGGTACACATGTTAAAAAAAAATCACATCTAACACAGGGAGGCAAGTTCTAGAATAGAGGTAGGGTGCCATGTTTCTCCAGACATTTGGGGGATTAAACAAAACATTTATATAAATTTATGTCTTAATGTGTATGTATGTATACATAAGAAAAAAGCATATAGATAGATTTGTATTTAATGAATTTTAAAAATGTCTGTGCTAGGCAGGTTCTCTTATATCGACTGCTTAAGAGTCACACTGTAAGAAGCAACAACCTCTCTCCTCCTCTCCGCCATCTCCTCGGCAACCGCAAAACAGCAACTATGTGTGAGTGCATCTCCATCCATGCTGGCCAGGCTGGTGTTCAGGTCGGCAATGCCTGCTGGGAGCTCTACTGCCTGGAACACGGCAACCAGCCCGATGGCCAGATGCCAAGTGACAAGACCACTGGGGGAGGAGACAACTCCTTCAACACTTTCTTCAGTGAGACAGGCGCTGGCAAGCATGTGCCCAGGGCAGTGTTCGTAGACCTGGAACCCACAGTCATTGATGAAGTTCGCACTGGCACCTACCACCAGCTCTTCCACCCTGAGCAGCTCGTCACAGGCAAAGAAGATGCTGCCAGTAACTACGCCCGCAGTCACTACACCACTGGCAAGGAGATCATTGACCTCGTCTTGGACCGAATTTGGAAACTGGCTGACCAGTGCACAGGTCTTCAGGGCTTCTTGGTTTTCCACAGCTTCGGTGGGGGAACTGGTTCTGGGTTTACCTCCCTGCTGGTGGAATGTCTCTCTGTCCATTATGGCAGGAAGTCCAAGCTGGAGTTCTCCATTTACCCAGCCCCTCAGGTTTCCACAGCTATAGTTGAACCCTACAACTCCATCCTCACCACCCACACCACCCTGGAGCACTCTGACTGTGCTTTCATGGTAGACAATGAGGCCATCTATGACATATGTCGCAGAAACCTCGATATTGAGCACCCAACCTGCACAAACCTGAATAGGCTGATAGGTCAAATTGTGTCCTCCGTCACCACTTCCCTGAGGTTTGATGGAGCCCTGAATGTCAACTTGACAGAATTCCAAACCAATCTGGTACCCTATCCTCGCATCCACTTCCCTCTGGCCACATATGCCCCTGTCATCTCTGCTGAGAAAGCCTACCATGAACAGCTTTCTGTAGCAGAGGTCACCAACGCTTGCTTTGAGCCAGCCAACCAGATGGTGAAATGCGACCCTCGCCATGATAAATACATGGCTTGCTGCCTGTTGTACCATGGTGACGTGGTCCCCAAAGATGTCAGTGCTGCCATTGCCACCATCAAGACAAGCGTACTATCCAGTTTGT